AAAGAAATGGCGCTGATTCCATGTGTACTTAACATGGCGGTTATTTGTAAAGGTTATGGAGGCCGGGGTTAAGTAATGTGTCTCCTCAGAACATATACCGTAGAAATATCGATAAAGCAACGATGATTTGTAGTGAAGCTACTGTTGGTGGAAAAAAATCCATTACCCTAAGGTCTGTGTTGATGTTTTTGCATTCTATCAAGACAGGCGCGTAAGGAGAGGGGAGGGGGCTTCAGCCCAGATATGACAGTAGTACTGCATGTTTGGCCCGATCTGACTCTTATTAAGATAGACTCTAGCGGAGGGAATTAGATACTTATAGGGTGACTGAAAAGTATCTTCGTATTTTATGTCTGAGCGGCAAACAAGGAGTTCTGACTTAAGACCCTGATTCTTTTGACGTTGGGGTTGCTTAAAGAAGCAAGTTTACTATAACAAACCAAGACTTTGGAAGAACTTGAAGGTCAAATAAAAAGTTAGGTTTCCCATACCTGGTGAAATCAGTTGACGCAATTCCTGGCCGGTTCGAAAAGTTGGTAGGGAAATCTGCAGCCCACATCGATTTTTAAGTAAAACCTCATGATAAACGCTTTCACTTTATAACCATTTTGTAAACGTTATACTTAATAAATACATTATAAGTATTCTAAAATAGTGAGTTACTTTTCAATCACCCTGTATATATATATATATATATATATATATATATATATATATATATATATATATATATATATATATATGAGGTGATTTAAAAGTTATACTGTATATATATATATATATATATATATATATGTATGTATGCATGTGTGTGTGTGTGTGTGTGTGTGCGATCGTCAGAAGCGTGAAGCTCAGGGTCACAAATTCACATCTATCCAACCAAATATGTTAGCTCTATCTCTGATATTGAGCGCTTTCTAATAAGTACCGCGCATATAATATATAAATAATTATATATTTGTATTTATATTTACACACACACACACACACACACACACACACATATATATATATATGTATGTTTGTGTGACTGGGTACATGTATATATAAATATTGAAATAGATAATTATGAAGATATTGATATAGATAGATAGTTATAGGCTAAATGAGGCAGATGTTTAGATAGAAATATATATATATATACATATATACATATGTGTGTGTGTGTGTGTATATACATATATCTATAATATATATATATATATATATATATATATATATATATATATATATATATATATATATAAATATATATCAAGTATATGATTGGTATATACGGAATGAATTCCAATAACCAACAAAGATTGTGAAGGATTGTTAATTAATTCTAAACTTTTAAAACCATTTATTTTACATTCAACATCATCAATTGATAAGACACTGAGAGTGTTGAAACAAAATGGCTATTTTTGTAGTGATTTTATAGCATATTTATGTTATAAATTAAAAAAATAATAATATATATATCTGTGTCTATATATATATATATATATATATATATATATATATATATATAAGTGATACAGTTATTTTCCGAGCGTAGCTTAGATGTGGCACAAGGTAGGAAGTATGGGGCATCTAGTGAGGATCGAACTCACTTTTTTAAATAAATAATTATATAAATAAATAAATATATATATATAAATATATATATATATATATATATATATATATATATAAAATCTATATAAATAAATATAAATATATATATATATATATATATAAAAGCAGTATAAATTCAAAATATATATATACACACACACACACACATATATATATATATATATCTATATATATATATATATATATATATATATATATATATATATGTAGGCATCAGCTGATTCACATAGAATATATACAGGGTCATTGAAACTCCCTATTTTATGCAGGAGTCCAGACTCAGCACCCTGTCATTTTCTTCGGTGGTACTTAAAGAAGAAAGTCTGCCTTACAAAGAATGAGTTTGGAAGACCTTGAATCCACATGAAAGAAGCAAGAGTTCCTGGTGAAATCAGTTGACCCGATTCCTGGCCGGCTCGAGAAGCTGGTAGCGAAATCCGGTGCCTATATCGAATTTTAAATTAAACCTCATACTAAACGCCTTTCTCTCATATCTACTTTTTTTAGAAATGTATTTAATAAATAAATCATACATATTTTTAAATGGAGAGTTACTGTTCATTCACCCTGTAGTGTAGAGGTACAATGAGTCGACAATGTTTCCAGCATCCTTTAGCAATAGTTCAGATATATAATTTCCACGAGGTCTAGGTAGAGGTTGCCTCCCAATAAACGTTCCCTATAAGGCAGTTAATGCTGGACAAACACCCACAGATGGAGAGGAGACTTCATCTGTAGGAGATTGTCAAGTATTCCCTGTCATAAAGAAGAACTGATCCTGCATAACAGTCCAGTATTCTTTTCTTTGCTTCTAATCAGATTTTCCTGTTTCTTAATACGCTGCTTACCTTTTAGAACGCATGTTTTGTTACCCTATGCACCTTCTGTTACGTTGCCACACTTTAGGTCATCAGTTGTTTGGTTGGATGTTCGGTTTTTCGTTAGAGGCATATCAACACCTGTAAGGGTTATTTAATACCGAAAATTAAATAATATGAACACAGTTTTACGGCTTCAATTAAATATATTTTGAACGCAATTATAAACGATCATTTGCAGCCAAAATGTATTGCTGGTCATTTTGCTATATAACTACGTATTGTTGGTACTTTTTTTTAACTAACAAATTGTTGCTGGTTATTTTTACTATAAAATCCATGTTTATACTTCTGTAGTGATTTGTGAGGAGGCACAAACATCAAAAAATACAATACTCGCCAGCAGCGTGAAGTAGGTAAACCACTGGTAGTAGTGGACTACATATGACCACAACCTAGTGTTCATAGCTACAGTATATAACAGCATAGCATTTAAAGTTTTGAAAATCAAAATTGATAGAGAAACAAGAAGCCCAAAGGAATTCTACAAGCGAGATATGTGACAAAAGAAACTTTTAGCATAAATCTTACGTTTGTATCTAGCAATTTCAGGTGTAAAATGTTGAGACCTAGCTGCCAATCTAGTACTGTGCTTAAATCCACAAGGTTTTAATATTGTAGCGCAAAACAATTACCATGAAAATGTTTATAGAAAAGCACAGGGAATCTACGTTACGGCGTTGCGAAATTGATTGAAGCCGAGATGCCAGGTTATAATCAATAAAATTGCGGATTCTTTGGATTTTATATAGAATCTAAAAATATACCAGAAGTACCAGACCATATGTGGCAGCAATATTCAAAACATGGACGAATAGTAGACTTATAAATATGTAAGATAGATTCTGGAGAGAAAAGCGAAAGCAATTTACAAAAATAGAAATTAAATAAATTTTCAGCTTGTTTTTCAAATCTTTTATTTTCACAATGTGGGATATTTAATAATAATAGTGACATAAACATAAACAGAAAATCTAGAGTAAATGAAATTGGTTTGACTATATTCCCAAACATATAAAAAAATAAATAAATAAAAAAACGATGTAAAATTTCAGCGTTCCTTCTGTTGCATGTACATCTGTTATCACATCAAGGTAAACTTCAGTCCTATGAAATACGAAACGATTCTCAGCATTTTTTTCCACTTTATCACAGATTTTCCTTAAATTCCATTCTTTCGAAATACTAATTCTAGATTCCGAGGGTATTTAAAAAAAAAAATCCAACAATACATGATAATCATCAATTCCTGTAGAACGATGTGAAGAGACGTTTTTTCTTCAGGATGTGGGTGGTCATAGCTCTTCAAAATATCTTGCCCTTTGAAAGGAAGCAAGGTTTCTATGGTACCCTTTTCACTATGCGACCTAGATATTATCAATTTAAGCGCAGTATTTTATTGGCGGCAAATTCTCATCATTTTACAGATGAATTGGCTAGATGTAACCGTAAGTTCTATGCTAACAGTTTCTTCTCTCGCACTTCTCGTTTTTCCAGCTAACTTTGATCTTCAAAAATTTTAATGCAATGTCTACTATAGTTTGATTTCTTTTCTTTTATTTTATACGCTCCTTGATAATGTTTGTCTTTTTTTTTTAATTATTCTCTGACACTCAGTAACAACCTTAGTTGCTTTACTGCTTTGTTTGGGGCGAGAAGAACAACAAACCAAAAAAAAAATGATCAGAATTTGAAACCGTCACTTCAGTACTATTTGGTATACGAATGACCGTTACGCTCCCCGAATATCCTTTCTAAGGCAATGAGGGAACATAAAGAGTAGGAGGGGGATGTTCTTTATTGTATTTAAGCCAAGGACATAAAAAATTACTTGAAGCGTCATGCAAACATGATTTCTGCTGGCCTTCAACAAGAATCCCCGAGTCAAACCCATAATAAAGATAGAAATATTACAAAATAAAGGCAGAAATATTCATGATTTTCTGATGAAGAACCACACGGCAACATGGCAGGGAAAAAACAAACAAAATAAATCCGTTTGTATAATAACGCCATTAAGAAAGTATTCCATCTATTTTTGCATGAATTTATTGCAGCCATTTTCTATTTATTTTTCCACTAATTTGTGTCCATTCATTCACTTCAAACTGAATTTTTCTTCTACAAATAAAACAAAAAACAACATCGAAAATGGCTGTTTTACTAGCGATAGTTTTATTGAAATTCAGTAAATAGATGGCAGAAAATGCAATAAAATAAATGGGGAAATAATTTACATTTTAAACAAAAATAATCCGTTGACGAAGGAGCAGAAATTAATTTAAAACTTGGTTTAAAATAAATTTGCATTATTTTGTTTGATTTTTCTATCCAGATGTGAAAAAAAATCATACGTAAATTTGAAAAATAGAAGGAGTGTTGAAATTTAGGAGAATCCTAAACAACAGGAATGGATCCGAATGGAAAAACAAGCAAAAGAGCCACATTCTAAGAAATAATCAAAATGGCCGACAATTTTGATAAATGAATGAAAAACAC